CCCCATGAGGACAGTACAATGGACAGACTGTGTCCACGTTAACTTGTTGCTACTGTTTATTTAAACCCAGCAGGGTCTTAACTCCTGAGACAGTAGAGGTGCTGTTTCTAATGTTGCACAATAAACATTTTGTTATGTTATGTAATTTTCCACCCGCTATCTTAGCGCTAGCTATTTTTGTGCAGTAACTTTTGGTTTTATTTTGGCTACATTTTTTTCCTGTTCTGATTAATTCTTGGTAAATTGTTACATATATTTAAATTGTGTTGTACTCTTTATATTTATTTTTCAGATTCTGGCCTTTTTACAATGTTATGAATATATTCTACAATCTAGGAATCCTTTGACCAGTGTTGACCTTTTTTAATTAAATGTGTAGTCAGTTTGATCTTTGTGTGGGATGATCAAATGAGTCCAGAAATATTTAGAAAATTTCCAAGAATTAGAAAAGGTTGAGCCAAAAGGTAGACAACAGCAGCTAAATAGTTACAGTTACCTTTAACCTAGGTGAGACAAAATGTAGTTACAAACACTTAGGTTAAGTTAGCTTAGCGAGGATTAAGCTAAAACTGTTAATTTAATTTTAGATTAAATTGAATAATAGTGACCCCTGTTGCTTATAAAGTATAATTTGAATTATTAAAAGTGAATGATTCTCATTTTCTAAAGACCAACACAGAGAACCAAATGCACTAAAGTTACTGGTAGTGAGAAAAGCTCGGGGATTTGTGTGACACATTGACACATTTCAAGTACTTTATGTATACATTATGTATGTACTGTATTTTTTTTGTATGTCCCTGTGGTGTTTCAGGATATTTTCCAAGCTACACCAGCCTTTTGCCCCGATCAGCCCCCAGGCCTGTCAGCCTCAGACACCACGGTAATTAAGTGGGAGCTACTTGTCAAAAAGCTGTAGAGCTACACATTTCTTATTGAATTACAAGGTGCTGGTAAGGAATGCAGGACACAGACATTGTCCTCCTGGCTGCTGGTAGAGACCAGGAGAAACAGCACATGGTGTTTCCTTCACGCCCGCTGACTGGGGATGCAAAACTACAACATATGCCATTTAGAGTTAAAATAGGCCACCATGGGATTTTTCTCTTCTCATCAATGTGTTTTTGAGGTTTGTGGTACTAACAGATTCTTAATGTGCAGAGGGTTGAGGCGTTTCAACAACAAGAGAGATGGATGGCTTAGTTTCACACCTGGACAGTGTGTGGGGAGGGGGGGCTGGTGGGTAGAGGGTGTGTGATGTCCATGGGTGGATAAACCAACCTCAGTCATTGTTGTATCACAGCACAGTGTCCACGCCAGCAGCTCCGCTAAAAACAAATGACGTATTTTCTCATCTACCTTTGAGTTTTGGGGTTAAATGGCTGCTAATCTTTGAATATAAACACACATAATAACATTATTTTTTGTTTAAAACTGTTAGAGCTATAATCATTTAAAACTGGCTAATTCTAATAAATAAAAAAGTCTCATTTGTACATTTTCTTAATTCCTCAATCAGAAAAAGAAACAGTTAATTTCCATTCCTTTTCTAGTAATTAATTAAGATGTAAACATTTATTAATACTTTATAGTATTTTTAAGGTATCCTTTATATCTGAATCTACATCACCCAGCTGTTGGTGCCTGTATACAAGACATGGACTTTGGCATATTAAATCATTTACATTAAATATTCCGAAACTTTTCACAACAACAAAAGTGGCTATAATTACTGATCTGGTTAGTATTTAATTTGTATCCAAATATACTTAATGTTATATGTATACTCACTCCATAAGTTATGTTTACTACCAATAGCTATTTAACATATAGATAGGGGAAAAAAACATGAACATCCATCCATCCATCCATCATCAACCACATGAACACGTAGGGCTATAAGAGTAAACTTTGGCTGTGTTTTTGTCAGCTAACGGCATTAGCGTTTAGCAGGGGCAGATGCTAGCAAAGCTGGCCTGTCAGGAAGGCACTTCTGGTATTCAGACTATGAATTGTTGCCTTTTGTTGCTGTTTTACAGTCATAGACATATCACGCTGTACAACAGGGAAGCAGAGATACATGTTGACATACAACAGAGCAGTGTTTTATACACTTAAATCATCATCAACCATTCTTTAGTCAGAAAAGTCCCACTTCTCCTTTTCAAGGGCACGGCAGCCAAAAAACAGCAACAAAACCAACAGATACCCAGACAAAACATGGATTAAAAATTTCTAAAGGCGACATGGAGACAATAAAAGATAACAAGTGTCGTAAAACAATTAAGATAAATTAGAAAATCTCCAAACTGTACTTCACAACAAAGAATTGACAGCATGTTGTGACTTCAGCTCTGTTGTCTTGAAACAAGAGCTGCTGAAAGGCAGTGTGTGTGTGTGTGTGTGTGTTACACTGGCATAGCTATAATTGTGGGGACATTTTGCATCTCCCAGATGAGTGACAAGGAGTTATGCTGTTAAATTAACATTAGATATATATTTGCATTAGTTAAGATTACGGAATGGTTTTGCCACAAGCTTGACAATGTTCACCCTCCTCTGTTAAAGGCATACATATAAATGCATTATATCTATGTTATAGTGTGTGTGTGTGTGTGTGTGTGTCTCAGGTCTGAAAGACAGCTTCAAACACAGACACACAAGCAGCTCAACTCTGATACATGGAATAACGAACCACGCCAGAGGTTGAGGCACAGTCACCGATCTCCCGTCCCTGCAGGGTTTACATTTCATCGACCAACACTTTCTCCTTCACCGAGGAGCCCACGGGGAATTCTTCAAGTCTCTCTCCAGTTATCAGGAGTATCAGGAATTCTGTGTGACTTCGATATCACAGAGTATTTTCTACTCTTTTTTTGTGTGTGTACCGTTTGATTCTCTCAGCAGGACATGTTATTGCATGATGTCATTCAGAGACTTTAAGTTCAGGAAGAGAAAAACTCAAAGGTGTTGAGTCACAGTTCAAGGTTTTTGTTTATTTTAAAGTCATTTTCAATTGTCTTCTTAAAACATATCCCTAATCATTTCATACTATTTTGTATATTTATTCTGCTACATATATATATGTATATATGTAATATTAAATATTATTATAAAAATATTCAATACAGATACACAGCAAGGCTGTTATAGTGTATATATATATATGTATATATATATACATATATATATATATATATATACAGTATGTATATATATATATATATATATGTATATATTTTTTATATTTGGCTCTTTCAGGACCTTATAAATAGAACAATCATAAATAAATATAAAGCTGTGTATTTTCTCGAACGTTCCACACTTGCCAAAAGTTCCTGAATAAACATAATGTTTCATCATCATCATAAAAACTTCAAAGCTTCCAAAAATACCAGCAAAACGATCTTTGAAATTCATCTACAGTCAAACACAGGGAAAAGTGATAACGCAGGGTTTTATTTTAGTACTTTAAACCATTGTCACCTTCTCTGTTTATTAATACATTTGATATTTGCATTCATTTTTTTACTTTTTACTTCCTCTTGTTTTTCCCCATCATTTGTATCTGCCTTCAACACACGCGGTCCTGATCAACCTAGCTTGAAAATTATTTTGCATGTAATAAATACATTTATATATTTCTTTTAAATGAGCTGACTCTGTTGGAAACATCTCCCTCTCTTTTATTTGAATTTGATTTTATGATGCTTCAGATACAAATAAATATAAACAATGTATTAAAATATATATAAAAAACAAACAAAAAAATCCCCAATTAACTTCCTTATTGGGATGCAGAGATGAAAGACAAATAGTTTTTATTGAACTTTTATTTTATTTTACCAGGTGACCTTGTCTGATAATTAATTTGTGGTTGTTAATTAATTATCTTATTTTTTAAACAATTTTACTTAGACTTTACTTAATAAAGAATACATTTTGAAAATTAAAATTTGAAAAACAATGCAATAATATCATAAATAAGGATGATTAAAATAAGTTGTGTTTTTAAGAGTGTGCACAACAGACTAGACAGAATATTTTGGTTGTATTTAATAGAAATAATAATAATAATAATAATAATAATAATCCAAATAAATAACAGAGCCCACAGTTTGTCACAGTGTTGATTTTACTGCTTCACATTTTTACAGCATCAATGTATCAAATCCTGAAGTTATGAGGAGCACAATAAAGACACTGTTTTACCTGTGACTTTACTGTCTGTCTGTGTGTGTGTTGTGTGTGTGTACATACAGTGTGTGTGTGTGTGTGTGTGTGTGTACTCAGGCCTGGCCGCTCCAACAGCAGTTGGCTGCTGAGCAGAAGGTGACAGTGTTTGTCTGCACTAACTGCCACTGATAAGTATCTGCTGAAATCCTGACAGTCCCATGTCCAGAGTGTGAGATTTAACATGTCAGCAGAGGCAAGTGGACTGTTGACACACACACACACACACACACACACACACACACACACACAGTGAGATGATTGAGTTTAATCTTTAGTTAATAATTTAATAATTTTAAAAAGTGAATCTCTTCTTCACAAAATGACCTGAAGTTCATTTAACAAAAATATTTTTAATATTAGATATTTTATAAGAAATACATTTTAAACTAAATCTATAGGAAAAATAAAAACATATATTGATTAAACTGCTGTATTTGTGGTTTATAGTTTTAAATTTAAAAACCTGAAATGACGTCACACACAAAAAAATCCCGTTACTGTAAGGACTTATAGTCAGGCCTAGTATTTGATGTAAATTTCGGACACAAAAATTAATTTTTACTATCTCCTTGCGAACATTTCAGAGTGAAATCTGGAAAAACTTCAGCAGGGAATAAACACATTTTACACAAAAGGTTTCAGTCTTATAAAGTTTATTGACATGAAAAAAAAAAACATTTGGGTAATGTTTAAATACTCTACAGAATAAAGTTATTAAACATGCACATAAAATATAATGTACATAAATATTTAATGGAGGAAAAAAAAAATTCCAGCTTTTCTATTTTTGGATGCAGTGCCTGTGTCTTTAAGTCTTTGTTTGACCCCGAAAACCTGAAACAACAAAGTCCTGTGTCTGAGACCGACCTGCCAGTTAGCAGTGCAAGAACAGAACGGACACTGAAACTAATGGAATGCTCGACTCATGGCAGGAGCAGGTCTTTTCAGTATAGCCTCCACAGAGAAGGACAGAGACTCGCTGGAGGCCATCTTGGTCCCCACGGGTTTGGTCAGAAAGTCTTTGGCGTACCTGTCGGTTATTTTCACCGCCTGGACGTCTTTGATGGAACCTTCCCTGAACTTGCGTGCTGCCTCCTCTATGAGCTCTTTGCAGTGCGGAGGCCTGAGCTCTGCCCGGGACTGAAAGGAGTTGAGTTTCATGGAAAGCTTAGCACTGTCCTTGTTAAATTTGTTCAAGACGTGGATGGAGTTTGGGGAATTAGCGTTGGTGGGGAAGGGTTGTCCGAAGCTTCTCTTCGGAGGAGAGAACGCGGAGCACTCCCTCTGCCCCCCGTGGGCGAGGGTTTTAGGGTCAGGCTGCTGGGATGAGTCCTGCAGCCCGGCAGCCCGGGAGCCTTCCAGTTTCGCCGTCAGGGCAGCCACAGCCTCCTGCTCTGGGAGCTGGCTCTCCACGGGCATGACTTTGGGCTCCCACACAGCTCCAGGCTTCATGTTCTGCACGGCCGTGGCGTTGAACAGACACTGCTGATACAGCAGGGCGTCACCCAGGTTGGCTGCACCGCGGGGCCACATCAGCGGGGGAGGTGCGGCTGCGGCGGGTAGTGGCGGTGCGTGGTAGCCACGCTGACGTTGGAGGAGATGAGCTCCACGTTGGCCGAGCCGGCTGGATACTGCATGGACAGGTCCAGGCAGTTGGGCCCGATGAAGCCGCACAGCTCTTTGGGCTGCGGCTCCACCTGAGCTGCGGGCGAGTAGCCCGTCTTGTAGGAGTTGTACTCGGCCGCGTGGTGGACCATGCTGTTGGGGAAGATGAGGGAAGCCGTGGCCGTCTGGCTGTTCTCCATCAGCTCCCGTTCCTTGTACTCCCGCTCTAACATGATGGTCTCCAGCTCCTTGTCGGCGAAGGCTCTCCTCTTCCTCATGCGGTCGCTCAGAGGTGGCGGGAGAGATGGGTTGGCGGCCAGGAATGGATCAGACTGGACCGGGCGATATCCTGTCATCAGAGGAATAGCCGTTTAATACAACTGATAGTTTCATTTGTGATGTAAAAGAGTTAAGTCATGCCACACGTATGCTGTAAATGGAGTTAGGTGACCTTGAACATGCTTAAAGGTTAAATATATCAGTGCTTACAGTTGTTAGAAAGTCCTTCACTGTTAAGAGGAAGAGGAAGTTAAAGACAAGAGAGGAAAAGAAGTGTTCAGTGGATTTTAGACAGTGGAAAAAATAGAAATGCAAGAGAAGAAAATTCTTAAATGAAAGAAAAATGAAAAGAAAAATATTTATATATATTATTATTATTATTATGTATTATTACTTTATTATATATTTTATCAGGATTATTGTCTCATTACCTTCCAGGATGCTCTTGGCCAGCATGGTGGACGGACGGATGTGTCTCTGATATATCGTTCTCCTCTCTGCTGGAATCTGTTTACCTGATATTCCCTTCTTATCCTGAAACAGAGAAATAAAAAAACAAAAGTGGTTAAAGATGTGCTTTTACAACAGTTTACCTAATCCTTCAATGAGATCTGATCTGTCACGGTTGCAGTCAGAGTTTTAACTATCTCTGGAGGCGGGGGAGGTGCGGCTGCGGCGGGTAGTGGCGGTGCTTGGTAGCCACGCTGACGTTGGAGGAGATGAGCTCCACGTTGGCCGAGCCGGCTGGATACTGCATGGACAGGTCCAGGCAGTTGGGCCCGATGAAGCCGCACAGCTCTTTGGGCTGCGGCTCCACCTGAGCTGCGGGCGAGTAGCCCGTCTTGTAGGAGTTGTACTCGGCCGCGTGGTGGACCATGCTGTTGGGGAAGATGAGGGAAGCCGTGGCCGTCTGGCTGTTCTCCATCAGCTCCCGTTCCTTGTACTCCCGCTCTAACATGATGGTCTCCAGCTCCTTGTCGGCGAAGGCTCTCCTCTTCCTCATGCGGTCGCTCAGAGGTGGCGGGAGAGATGGGTTGGCGGCCAGGAATGGATCAGACTGGACCGGGCGATATCCTGTCATCAGAGGAATAGCCGTTTAATACAACTGATAGTTTCATTTGTGATGTAAAAGAGTTAAGTCATGCCACACGTATGCTGTAAATGGAGTTAGGTGACCTTGAACATGCTTAAAGGTTAAATATATCAGTGCTTACAGTTGTTAGAAAGTCCTTCACTGTTAAGAGGAAGAGGAAGTTAAAGACAAGAGAGGAAAAGAAGTGTTCAGTGGATTTTAGACAGTGGAAAAAATAGAAATGCAAGAGAAGAAAATTCTTAAATGAAAGAAAAATGAAAAGAAAAATATTTATATATATTATTATTATTATTATGTATTATTACTTTATTATATATTTTATCAGGATTATTGTCTCATTACCTTCCAGGATGCTCTTGGCCAGCATGGTGGACGGACGGATGTGTCTCTGATATATCGTTCTCCTCTCTGCTGGAATCTGTTTACCTGATATTCCCTTCTTATCCTGAAACAGAGAAATAAAAAAACAAAAGTGGTTAAAGATGTGCTTTTACAACAGTTTACCTAATCCTTCAATGAGATCTGATCTGTCACGGTTGCAGTCAGAGTTTTAACTATCTCTGGAGAGTAAAATGCATCACTTCAGTTGTCAGAATACATACAAAAGTGTATATATTTCATAATGGAATAGATTGCACATAAAAACTCAACACATAAATAACAAACTATCCAAAAAAACACACAGTGACAAATGTTAACCCTTGACTAATAACATCATGTCATCATGTCTAATTTAAGGTGGTGTTAAATGTCAGGAGAGGAGCGAACCATCACTGCGATCATCAGAATCCAAAATCTAACAACAAATCGTCCTAAGACTCAGTGAAACTATCCCAAAAAATAAATACATTTTTCCCTCCTGGTCCTGAACGTCACACCAGTCCTGACCAAGTAAACTAGGGCGCATGTAAACCCAAATACATAAATAATACATGTAAACTACTGCTCCAGGAACAGCGTTAATCAAACCCTGGTGTGTTTTTTTCTCACAGTGATTCTGGACACTGCGAGAGCACGCAGTCGTTTCTGCTCCAAGAGACTCAGTGATGTTGTTTCCTCAGAAGTGGAAACACTTGTTTTACATAACACATCTCAAATGGAACGTGCAGAGAATGAAAGGCAGCGTTAACCACAACAGGACAATATTCTGCACAGCTGCAGGTCAGACACTGGCTCTCTGTCAACACTGAGTGTGTGGAAATACACACTCTTTAACTAATACTGTGAAGTTATACAGAATAACATTGAATACTTATTATAAAGTTAAATGTTTATTTATTGTATTTCTAAAGTTCTTCACTCTGTTTCTCGTGGTTTTTTAACTTTTATATTTTTCAATCTTTATTTCTCTCTCTGGGAGCTGCCACAGTTTGTAATAAATACACCGACATCGGAACTGTCTTTTTTTATACAGTAAATGTAACTCTTATACTGAGAAAAAGCAAAGAAAAATGTACTCATTTAAAAGTATTTGCCAGACAAATATATTGCAATATTTTGGTTTCAAGTAAACAGAAAGTGTGCATCGAATAGAGAAAATATAATGTTATTCGTCTTATTGTATTAAGAAAAGGGACAAAGCTCACATTTTTTAAAAACCAAATTGTTCTGACACATTTAAAACATCAACACAACAGAATGAGTTCAGTTTCTAATTGTGTTCACTGGTTTATTTAGTGACGTTTGGTGGTTTGTGAAATATTTTTTAGATTTAAAATAACAGTGAACGTTAAAGATGAAATAAACAAGTTTTATTTTGTTTGATATTCCATATAATTTGACTTAAAACATATTAGGTCAAATGTTCGACCTCCATCTGTCTCGATAACACAGCCTCACCCACAGACTCTCCCGCCTCACCTCGGTAGCTTGTTGCCTCCTCAGCGCCACCTGCGCCGCCATCACCCGCTGCCTCTCCACCACCAGCAGGCAGTTGGCGCACTGACAGTCCCTCCAGCGGCAGAAGCGCTTGTGGCCCTTCAGGCATGACACCACCCCGTGGTTGCGGCAGCGGGCGCACTTCGGGGTCCGGCTCCGCTTCCTCTGGTCCCCGGGACACAGGCCTCCGGAAGCGGGCTTGTCGTCGCCCTTGTGCTCGTCACCCTCGTCCTCTGAGGCGGCAGCGCCGAGCGGAACCGAGTCCGGCCGACTGTAGGAGTCGCTATCAGCGAGACTCTCCACGTCGATTTCAAACTCGCAACCGGTGTTTCCTGCCATGACTGCCCCCAGACCACAGTGCTGAGCCGGCTGTGGATGCTGCTGTAGAAGAACACATCATTTTAACTCCCGTCAGGTTCTGTTGCTTTGGTCCGAGAACAAACCGGTTGTAACTGCTCACAATTTTAATAAATTTAATAAAAATCACAGGAATTCTCTTATTTTTTTAACGACACATAAGTCATACATGTAAAACTATAAAAATAAAATATAAAAAATACATTTTAATTTTATTTATTTATTTTCACGATTCAGTCATACAAGTTAAACTGATGAATCAATATTCCTCTACATTTAAATAATTTGCAATTTTGCCCTTTCACAATAACCATTACTATTTACACTGCATTTTGAGTGTTTGAATGACAATACAGTTTAATCTAGTGTAAAGAAATCATTACTTACTGTTCACCAATAACAATAATAAATATATAGTAAGTGTTTATAAGAAGGTGGGAGATTAATTTCATAATTATCATCTTACGACTAAAAATCACTACTCGATATCAAATGTAAACGTATTTATGCACTTTTTCCCCATTGTTGCCTGTCGATGCCCATTTAACTGGTAAACAACTTTTATTAGTAGCGTAAAAAGAAAACAAAAAGACTTCAACTTACTTGTACAATTGTTTTCGCCTGTCTCGGCTTTGAAGCAGCGAAGAGAAACTGAACAATTCCTCTGTCCAGACTCCAGTTGAAGTTTTTCCTTCTTGATAAATCTGTTAGTTGCACAGATTAACTCTCTTTACTTGACCTCTGTCAGTGTCTGTATCGATGTCAGATCCAGGTTTCTTCTGCTGCTCCCTCTGCTCAGCTTCACTCCTATGAACCTCTGCGCTCCGCGCTCTCTCGCCTCTGATTGGCAGCCGCTGGGCGCGAAGCCACCAATAGGAGTCGGAGCAGTTATTCCGTTCTCCTGCAGGGCAAGTTCTTATCACTTCACCTGAGGAACAAGTTTACTTAACACAGACCGATTTGTCTGGATTTTGTCTGTGTACTAAACAAAAAAAAACAAAAAAAAAAAAAACTCAGCGTTAAATAGATGTAACTGTGACTGGAGGCTGACCTCAACTGTCTCAAAACTGTACATACACTGGTCTAAAATACAAAAAAAAAAAAAAAAGCAAAACAAAAAAATAAGTAAGGAAGCTAGCTGGTATGTTCAGGTGAATTCTATTTTGGCATACAATAATTAACAGAGATTTTTAAAAAAATGTCCATGATCCAAGTATCTTAGCAATTCTATCTGACATGCTGCACTGTCCTTGGTCTGGCCTTCTGTTGGAGACAGCGGTATCATATCATGACACTGACATCTTGTTGTCATGTAAATTATAGTAGATAAAGTTCTTATCAACCATAAATAAATAATGATACAGCAATCTACTGTCATCTTTAAGAACCATGTGATTTTAACTATCAATTAGTGAAAGCTCAATGACAAACAAGTGTCATTTGTTTTGGGGGAAAGAAAAGGGAATGTAGTGACATTGAACGGATGACGAGTAAGAGTACACTTTGTAGAAGGCAGCAACATCTAGTGGTGAAGCTATATGTCAGGGTGGAATACTACAGTATATCTTATTGTCATTGTGTCATATTTATGTCATGCTGTCATTAGGTAACCTTTCGTTATCATAAGGGCTCAAAAGATATTTAGTTTGTCCTGTTAGGGCTCATGTAAAAAAAGTCAAAAGTCAACAAACGAGTAATTTTATTATTAGTAGTAGTACTAGTATGATTATTAAAATAATGATTATAATAATTATTATTATAATTATTATTTTGTCTTAACCGTGAATGTATTATTTTGAATCTCAAGTTATATATTTCAATATTTATTTGTATTTTATTTATTGTATTTTATTATAACACACCAATTCAAGTTAGTTACACCAGATTCTGATTCTCATATAAAGTAAAACAGGCTTTATTTACTCGTGGGTAAACAGGAAGTATGTCTGAGGGCATCTTTACACTTTTTTTTTCCCACATCTGTTTTGGGCTAATTTTTCTGCTTAAATGAATTCATTTACAGGACATAAAACAGACTTTTCCTGATCTTTGAAACCAGTTGTTTCAGGTTCTTTTTTTTTCTTTTTTTCTTTTTTTGAGCCAAAAGTTTCACCCTGTCAATGTTAGAAACATACTGTATGCTGTGACTTTGTGACTGTGGGAAGATCTGGCATCAACAACATTCAAAGGTCCCAGATAAACGTGCAGGTTCTGATGTGTCTTAATGTGGTTCACATGGATCACCGTCCAAACTGGCCTGTGGCACATCAGTCAGGCAGGTGATAATTGAGTCATGCAGGTTGTTACAGTCTGTCCTCTGGGCAGGAGGAGCGCAGCTTGATAAGAATGTTTTCACAACAATCACACCTTTTGTAAAGCACCTTGTCAGCAGGAGAATCCTGCACGAAACAATGAACGAGGCCAGGGTAGGACTGCGCCCTTCACCTTTGTCTCAGAACATCCACACATAACTCTTATTAAAAACACAAAACAAAACATTGTTTATTAATCTATTCCAGATTATTTTCAGGTCAAATAAATGTAACAATCTGGGGTAAATAAAAAAAAGAAATGACACAAATATGCTCAGGGTTTAAAAAGTTGCAAAATTGTGAAATAAGTATTTTAGTCTTATCTTGAATTATTCTTCCTTCTTTGTTAAAACACATTCAAACTTCTGCTTTTCTTACGGTGTTTACACAACAATGAAATCGCTGTGTATAGTTCAACACATTTTTGTAGCATTTCCAGCAACAGTACTATGCTCTGTGGGTCTGACTTCAGTCCAACAATGACAAAAAATAATTAATTAATTAATTATTGTGTCATTAATGTGGCAGCTTAGGTTCATGGGAACTGATGAAACCACAGCACGGTCACGGTTCTTTACACACAACTGACAACAGCCTGAGGAGCTACACCCTCCGTCGTTACCTGCGCTCTTTAAAAGGAAAATACCAGTGAGGATTCATATCTGTCACACAGTACAGTGGGCCTTAAAGATACAAGATTAATCCGTTCTGCAACAGCACTCAAATTTTCCCCATTAAAAACAACTAAAAAAATTAATTTGTTCCGGTCCCTCGTAAATATACTATTAACTGCCCCCAGTATAAACTTCAAAAACATAGATGTAAACAAATACACATTTTATATGTGTGTTATAAACCTTGATAAAATAACCCAGAGAGGGACAGTGAGCGCGACAAATAGAAAAATGGAACTTGGTTGAGCACTTGTAATGTGACGTTTCCTCATATCACATCAAATCAAACAGAACTTGGAAAACTCCACCTCACAGCTGGAATATTTGATGTTTCCTCTTAAGGTTTTTATTCTTTATTCTTTTGACAATTAAACCCACAAAGAAGCCCCTCCCCCACACTTAAAAAAATAATATAGTTTCGACCGGGGATCAAACTGCTGACCTTTCTGCTGTAAGGCAGTAGCATTAACCACTTATACATCAAATGAGGCCATTACAATGTGTTTAGTTTTTCCATTATTATTATGAATCAATAGATAATTCAATCTACATCTTCAATATATGTACATATATAAACACATACATACAAACATACTAGAATTGCTGCTTCTAACCTCGCGGTCACCACTGATCATGTTCGTCATTGATGACTAGCTTTAAAAACGGCGAATAAACATATGTTTCAGTGGGACAATTGAGACGAGGACGCGCGGCTGTTTCATCTCCTTGTGGCTGCAGCTCCTCCTCTAACGGTTTCTCCATGTGTTGGAGGTGAAGACGTTTGTCTTGCAGGTGCAGCTTTATTTGCCACTTCATCTTAATTTATTGCGGGGGTTACGACACGCCACCCTAGGCTGCAGTTTCCACACCAGGAATGCTTTGATCCCACAGGAGCAGCCCTAACCCAGGATCCTCCAGGTGAAATGTGTTGTCTGTGTCCACGGAGGAGCTGAGGAGGTGCTTGAACGGATTTCCATGAGTCATTTAGGATGTCAGGGTCTCTGGAAGGAATTCCAGGTATTCCTGAAGACATAGTGTGTCAGGATCTCCGGGAGTCTTGAGGTTGTTGTTAAAGTGGATTCCTCTACTGTTCCACATGGAGTTCCTTTGGGTTCTCCCTCAGTGATTGGTCGATAAATCACAAACCTCTCTTTTTATCCCGTCATTTATTTAGTTATTGAAGGGGTTAACTGATCTTTAGAAGGGTTTTTGAAGGGATTTCAGGAATCACTGGGGACACTTTTTGTTTGTTTGCAGGAATCCTGGCAGGAAATAAAGTTTTGAAGAATATTGAAAGAATCCTGGTTTTTATAACCTAAACCCCATAGCTAGGGTTTAGGTTATAACAAACTAACTTACATCCAGGTATTTCTGCAGATCATCAATGAAGGTTCAGGTGTTAGCGAGTGGATTTAGCTGTTAGCAGGCGATCAGTGAAATACAAAAGTGTGTATTACCTACTAAATAAATATGAAAAAACGGCAGTACATTTGTTTGCCAATGAGTTAAAAATCCTGCGGTACTTTTCCTTTATAAATGCTGAAGGAGAAATCCTTCTAAAACAGACTTGTACTGGACAGTGTTTGATTGATAACAGGTCAGCCCTGGTGCTTAATGACCACAACCTGGACAAACACACAGACACTTCTTGACACTTTCTCACACAGGGCGTAGTTTACTTTTGCTGCTGATTGAAACAACAGCATCTTGTTGGACGTGTCCCACTGTGTCAGCAGTAAAGTGTAACAGGAGCTGTGTATAGACAGCAGAGCAGTGTGGGATCACTGGGGACCCTGTTATGTTAATTAGCCTCTGATGGAGCAACAACACATGCAGCTGAAGACAAAACCAGCCGGGACAACATTTGTCTCTGTCTGACGGGCCGTGACACCTTGACCTCTGGGTGGATAATGTGCAACAAACAGTAGGAAGTGTCCTTCAGCTGTGGAGGTGTCAGTGGGAGACGATCTATGACACCAACATTTAAAACAACTGATTTTTATCCGTTTTAGATTTAGAAACTTTAAAAATGTATATCTTGAACATGTAATTCAAACGACCTCTAGGGGTTCTGGGGAGGTACTGCAGAGGTGGTAAAAGTTTTTGGATGATTAGACCAGTTTAAATATTTTATTTTGTGGCAAAACAATGAGTTTGATCACAGTGTCTTAATTCACTCATGAAACCGGTTTTAGTTTGGACACGTGGTTGGGCCTCAGTGCTGCCACCATCCTGTAAAATACAGAATCGTCCTTTTGACAATAAAATGTTATGGACCATATTGAACAATGAATGTGATTTTCTAATACACACATCTGTCACACACCCCAACACAACAGCTAACAATAATGTTCAAAATAAGTTGTGGGGGGTTAAGGGGGTGGGGGGGGGGCGCATGGAAGAATGACTGGGGGGCTAAATGCTGAATGACTGAATGTACGTGGATATAATATTCTAGTATTTCTGGGCCCATTATCAGGACACAGGTCAAAATAGTTAAGTATGTTACCATTAGCCTTTTAGCCACCGGCGTTCCCAGCATGCACTGCAACGGTGTTGTCAGAGAACGGGTGCCAAAGTGGGGAAATCCAAAAATGCCACCTCACGGTTGTTGGTGGTTGTGATTTTACGAGGAGAATCCAGCATGCTGCAGGTGCTGCTGGGTTCTAGTGTCCAGTGGTATTGTCTGTTTACAGACAGACATCACTAAAGAGTTGCCCCTTTGACAAAACCCCTGGCCAAGGGGCAACCGCAGCACCTCACTTTTTGCCTAGCAAAGTCAGTAAAAGTCTCGTTGGAGCCCATAAGTCTACGGGGTTTTTTTGTACACATTTTTAGCCGGTCGTTAATCAGACCATCGCTTGCGGAGAAGGAATTAAGAAACTAAGAAAATATTTTTCACCCACGCCAAACCAGTTTTGCCATTTAATGGCGGTTGTTTAAGCGGCGGACCATTGACACACAAATGTACCAGTCACTTGTCTCTCTGATAGTGAAATTTAGAACAACACTTCCACCACCATTAATCCACAACAAATAAGTTGAACGGGAGCAAGAAAAACACATGAAAAAATGTCCGTCCTTGTTCACAGCGGTTCCTTGAGTCAGGCCTATAGTTTTAAACTAGTCCTGCTGATGGTCTTGTTGGAGTGTGCCGGGCTCGAGGCGACATTAAAGGCTCAAATATATTCTACATATGCGGGAAAAAAAGGTAATAAATGAAATTATTTCATTGTGAAATTGAAATTTTTAATGAATCATTGTAGTTATTTAGTGATTGTGGTGTTGAATCATGCCCAAAATGTATTGCTATTATTATTATTGTCTGTTATTTATTTATTATTATTATTATTATCCTTATTATCCATCCATCCATTTTCATCCGCTTATCCATTACTAGGTCGGCAGCAGTCGCCACCCAAACCACACTGCACCGTACCAACCCCTCCGAACCCTCCTGCAGGTGGTGAGTCCACTGGAACATATCAACCTTCCCAACCGGGATTTGATCTTACCCTTGGTTCGAGTTGAACCCTGAGGTTCCACACCAATGACAGACACATTGCCTTTGGGCCAAAGATCCATTATTATTATTATTATTATTATTATTATTGTTATTATAATTGTTGTTGTTGTTGTTGTTGTTGTTGTTGTTCTTACTATTATTGTTACAATAAAAATAAACACAAACATCACTATCATCATAATAATAATTATAATTATAATGTAATTTACTATATAATACTATGTTTATTGAACTAGTAACTTGATATTCTAGTTTTGTCCACTGGGTGTCAGACGAAAGCCTGTGTAGCGCGACAACCTCAAGACTTTTTAAACTGCTGAAAATTTTCGCCAAACTATAAAAGTTAGGGAGAGAAGATCATGCAGTAAATATGGTGTTAGATGAAGAAACGTGGCTTCACTTTCATCAGGTTTTCTGGGTTTGATCGAATGGTCCGTCGATGGCACTAATAAAAAAATAAAACAGAAGAAAATTAACACCTCAGAACAGACAATGTTATTTTCATATTTGAAATATTTTCTTCTTCTTCTTCTTCTGTCTGGTCACTGTGTCTGATTAAAACACGCAATGAAATAAAATGCATTTAAAATTAAAACATTTAAATGTTTTGGTTTTACCACAAGAGGGCAGCATTTGAAAGACTTGAATAGATGATCTCGGTCTCGGCAGCACGTCCTCAGTGACGACAGGTGCCGAAAGCGAAACCAAATCTGTTTTTATTCATGATTAAAACGATAGAAAAGAAAATGTTTTATTTATGTTTGAGCCAAAGAGATGATGACAATACTTTGTTTTAATCTCTTTTTTTACCGTCTATAGACTGAATTCATAAACAATATTAATAGTAGTATTTTATTCTTGTCAACAAAACCAATGCTTGCATATGTTTTTAATTTTTTATTACATATATTTAAATCTAATTTTCACTCATATTTTAATCAATAAATAATACAGGTATGAGGTGATTTATTACACAATACTAATAATATACATAAATTCACATTTAATGAACCTAAAAAATTAAATTAAATTGTGACTAACTTACGTGGTATTGTTAATTTCATCAATAATCTGGGACTAACAATGCCCTGGTTCCCTTTTCACACTTTAAAAATAACGTTTTATGTTTAACGGATCTCATTGGAATAAAAAAAACTGCAAGATTTTTTTTCTTACTAAAATAAGAAGGATATCGATTTTTTTTTTAAAAACAAAACATTTTTTGTATCGCGTGGTCATCGCAGTAACGTATTTAGTATTTTTTCAACAAGGAGCTCGTGTCAAATGATCTGCTGTGACTGAATGACATTAATAATAATAATAATAATAATAATAAACACCAATGACTCTGACAGCACACGTGCTCGTTTAATAATAAATATATTACTTTTTTAAATCATTATTACAGGTGTAAATACGCTGATCATCTGAAGAAAACAGGTTGATCCATTTGGACAACAATATTTATTTGGCTTCCTTTTAACATGCAGGGGGGGGGTTTCAAAATAAATGTCAGTTACATTCATCCGGTTTTTGTTTTGTTTGTTCTTTGTTTGTTTTTTTGTTGTTGTTTTTGGTCAAGTCTCTCTCTTTGTCTCTCTTTCTCGGACACACACACACACACAGTGTATTTCCAGTGTAACACTTTTTTTGGGGGGGCCTCGTCCTCCTAAAACTCATTATTCGTGTGGAGTTTTAGGAGGACGAGTTGTGGATGCGGGAGTCTGAGGAGTCAGACCGCTCCTCGTACTCCTCATCCGGGGAGTAGAGGCTTGGCTTGGGCCCCAGCGTGCAGTTCTCCTCTTGGATGCTGATGCGCGGCTCCTCCGAGGGTCCTCTGGGTGCGAGGATGGGGGAGCTGCGGAACACAGACGCCGCAGGTCCGGCGGGGGTAGCGGGGGGGAATGGAGACACGTACTGGGCTGCGGAGCGGAGCTGGTACTGCTGCTGCAGAGCCATGGTATTCCACAGGGTCACGTCGTTGTGCACGAAAGGACTGGCCTGGCTGCGCGTCAGGGAGTTGCGCAGCATGAGCGGGTAACGGGTGGGCTGTGGGAAGGACGGGTGCTGCAGTGGGACCCCCAGGGGCCCCGTGGGAACCACGCCTGACGCGGCGTCGGAGGTAAAGCGCAGGGACTCGGGCACCCGGAAAGCAGAGCCCACCGACCACTTGGCGGAGGAGGTGACGGGGTGGTAAGAGCCCAGGGTGTGTTCGAACAGGTGTCCGTTTGAGGGCAGAACCAGCGCGTCCGAGTGCGCGTCACTGTGCGTGTGCGCGCCGCCGTCAGCGCTCCGGCTGGACAGGAGCACCTCGATGGCCCCCACCAGGTCCCCGCCGCAGCCTCGGAGGATGAGCTCCAGGACCGGAGGTTTGTGAGCGGGGAAGATCTTCTTGAGGACCTCCAGAGGAGGCCTGTTGGCCCGCAGGCTGAAGGGCAGGTTGATGGACCCGGCCAGGCCCTCGATCAGGACGCTCTGCTCCCCGGAGCTGACGGGATACTTCTGCGGACTGTCACTCTTAGTCTCCTTCTCGGTGCCTCCAGCTTTGGAGACGCTGTATCGGCTCTCCTCAGGTTGGGGGAGGGTCTCTGGAGGCTCCGGGGAGTAGCAGGTGTTTGGTTTGGATCCCTCTGGAGAACTGACGGGTTCTTGCTCCTTCTCACTGGAGCTGCCGCCGTTTTCACCCCCGGACACCTCGTCAGCTGCGTCCTCTGTCGACTCTGGAAAGTTATGGACGACTTTAGGTTCAGTTGATATGAAATTTAAACAATAACAGACTCTAACTTGACTTAATAGATAGTTTAATATATTAATTAGTTATTGTATATTTTGGCTGCTGTGATCTCACAGTACCGAGGTTCAAGAGGTGGCCAGGGTCACCTGGGAGGTCAACTTGCCCTCCCACCCCCATATTGGTGCCCTGACTGCATGAAGAACACAATATTGCCTTTTTAATAAGAACATGTCAAGATCAAAGCCCACAACACGGGTTCAAACTGAAGGTCCGCAGACCCAATCTGGCCCAATCAGGTCATATTTAGGGGACCTGAGAAAACACTTGTTTAAATATTTCAGTATGTGTAACCTCGTCTGTAAGGTTTTAATAAGTGCCTCCAAAATGACTATAGTCAAACTACTGTATACTCTTTTGTTATTTGTTGTGTGCGCCCCCTGCAGGGCAGTGTGCAGATGTTTGGTTTTGTAAAATTCTTGTCTCACATTTACATCCAGCGTTATTAGCGGAATCACCGCGTGTTATAGAACCAACGAAGGACCCTGTTCTGTGACCCCCCACCCCCTCCCAGTCTCCCCCACCCCAGATCAGTGGGCAACACTTTATGTGAAGTTGACCCCAGATGAAATATCGTGATTACAGTGGACTGGGCCCGTCCACTAGAGATGGAAGTCATTTTTAAGTCCACTCAGCACTGACTGCACTCTGACAGGATAGAGTTGAACTTCATTCAATGTATTTAACATTTTACACCACGTCTGTCAAACTGATTTTGGTTCATGGGTCACATACAACCTACTTAGATGTCAAGAGGGCCGGACCAGGGCACAAGTCTATTGGACAGTTATTATTAATAATTCATACGTAATGAAATTGAATATATAATAATTAAATAAATATAATAGTTTTACAAAAGAAATAGCATGATCTGAACATTAAGTATTTGTGTATTCTTTTTATTTTCAAATTTTATCAAGTGGGCAGGATTGAACTGTTTTGGCCCCCGGGCCGTATGTTTAACAACACCAATACAAAAGATTGTATTAAGAAGACTTCTTAATATACTTATGAGTTAATATACTGAATAATATTTCGTTATTTTTTTAAATAATAAATTATTTTCACCAAATGTTTGCGTTTGTTAAGTGTGCACTGTTTTTTTAAACACATTTATACAATAATGTCGTGCTTTAATTTGAGGTCAAATGTGTCGGTCAAGTCTTAGAAATGAAATGGTTCCAAATGTGTTTTTTAAATTAAAATCTGTTGCTGCTGTTGTGAAAGATTTGAAAGTTTCAACGGTCAAAGTCATTATTAATACAATATCAATACAAAATATTTACTAGGGACGTTTTCTCGTCGCTGTCCAGGATGACGATCAACGATTATTCGATTCGATTTGATCCATAGTTTTTTTTTTTAAATTCAGATAAACTTTTGATAAATGAACACTTTAAATAAACAACAGTGAAAACGAATCGACTATTAATTCGTTAATCCACGTCAGAATAAAAAAACATCAACCATTGATGAGTTAGTCACATAACTGGTAATTATAGTTATGAAATAGAATAGAAAACAAACCTGAACAATTCCATTTGATTATAATAATTTATACAATTGTTGAAATAAACCGATCACTAAATTATTACATTAAAATATGCAAAACATGCGACAGACGTATGACAACAAGTCTAATATTCTTCTGTTTTATAAATTATATAACGCTATTATTTTTTATATTAAATTGAGTTAATTTTAGTGTTGTTAGTTTTATTGATATTATTTTAATTTTAAACCGAGTCCTGTTCTACTGTAAGGCTTTCACTTCAAATGTTGAAAAATAGCTATTAATATATTTTAAAAAAGTAATAATTTCTAAAAGAAATAAGTTTTATTTTACAATTTTTTTTTCTCTCTCCAACGATAATGACAAAATTAAGAATATATTTTCGGGAGATTATTTTAAATTAGGCATTATATTTTACAAAAAATACAAAATCATCCTGAAATCATCATCATAACAAATATATATTTATAATAAATGCATAACTGTTACAACAATTTAAGAAGTCTTTGTTTATTTAGTGCACGATTATAAATATAAACAAATCATTTGAATGTGGCTGTAATGTATTATTTTACTTTATTTATTTAATTAAACTGAAATACTCGGGTTACATGTTTTAAAATCATTTTACTTTACTGTCTGAGTATTTTGTATTTGATAATACCTTAATTAATATTTTTATAATATTTGTTTGTTTGTTTTTTAATATAAAAAAGAAGAAGAAAAGAAACGCAGAATATTCTTTCTAACTCTTCGGTTCTACCTGTGCATGTCTGGGCCGTGGCCTGCACCGGCTCCGAGCTGCTCCACCTCAGATCCAGCTCATCTGAACTCCCCGCGGCTCCCTGGGTCCCTTCCCCGGACCCGGTTAGGCCGATGCCGGGCAGCACTCTGAGGGACTCCGGGATGAGGCTCTCCAGGCTCTCGTTAGCCTGCTGCCTCCGCAGCGCCACCTGCGCCGCCATGACCCGCTGGCGCTCGATGATGAGGATGCACTTCTCACAGGTGCAGTCCTTGAAGCGGCAGTAGCGCTTGTGACCCTTCAGCCACGACAGCACTCCGTGGTTCCGGCAGCGGGCGCACTTGGGGGTCCTCTGCAGCGGGGCCCGGGGCTGAGACACGGGAGCCCCCATGTACAGGTAAGGTGAGCCGTAGCCGTTCATGGTGCCAGACGCAGGACTCACAAGTGCATGTGAGGAGAAGCGAGGCGGAGACACGAGTGTTGGTGCTGTGGTCACGGAGACAGAGGTGGAGGCTGCAGCCTGACAGAGGGAGGTGAGGAGGGTGAGGAGGGTGAGGAGGGTGTGTGTTCCCAGCTCCTCTGCTCTGACAGCACTGAGACACATCAGCCTGACGCGCTCTTATGGAGAGGAGTATCCAAAGGCTGAAACTCGCGTCAAAGCGCGTGCACGCTGCCAAAAAAAAAAGCCAGAGAAATTGAAGTGAGAAAAAGAACAAGAACAGGATTAGATAACCTAAGGTTTTCCCTGAGTCCTTTAGAGTTCTTAAGATGAAGATACTGCTCTTCATCAGAAGAACTCAGAAGAGAAAAAAAACCTGTATTAATAATTGGCCAAAAACAGTAGAAATTCCCTGCAGACATCCTTAGATTACTTGTTCATTTTTCTCATTATTAGATGCTGCTGTTGAAACAAGAACATGTAAATGCATTTTAGAACTTTAAAAAAAAAGTTTAAAAAATGCATTTTTTATTAAATTGATATTACATTTAATCATGTGCAAACAGGAAAAATGCCATATGGAAATATGGCATTATGTGTCCTAGCATTATATCTCCAGACCATTCATTCTCATTGTATCATAACTATTATTATTATATATAATAAATTAATTTATTGGAGTCCATGTTGGTATTTTAAACTGTCCTGAATATTTCTGTGCAATTTAAAAAATTCAATCAAGTACATAAATATATATATATAGAATATTACAGCATGGGTTCCCAAAGTGAGGGGTGGGTCCCCAAAAGGGTCGTGTGAGTAGCTTTGAGTTGTCCTCAGGACAGGAAAAGCACTCACTAAGTACACAGACCAGTTCCTGTTCACCAGTCACCCAAGACCCTCAGAAAGGAGTGTGTGATTCATATATTCACTTATATATTTCAATGAGAGCTGTTTGTTTATCTGTCACTCTGTAACTGTAACTGGACGACTGTGAATGGCTTCAGAACAGCCTGGGCTTTTGTTGACATATTTCCTGGAGAACAGCACTCACTCTCTCTCACTCTCTCTCTCACACACACACACACTTAAACCGGTATATAACTGAGATGATTAGGTGTGTGCATGTGTTTAAGGACTTTGGGAACTCTGCGGAGGATGCTGATGTGTCCCTTCTGCTCCTCTAATAGAGGGCATTGAAACATAACACCGGACAAAGCCGGGGCCCAGTTCTGACCATAAAAAAAGGGATTATTCAAGCACATAATGGGATCGGAGTCTGAGCTGCTTCAGTCTGAGAATAAGAGCCCGGTGAACTTCCCCACATGAAGCCGGTCTCCGGGGCTATTATGCTTTTAATTGGAAAATAGCACAGGAAATTTCAAGGTGACTAGAGTGGCTGTGCAGTTTGTGCCGGCCGAGTAGATTTGTGTGGGAGGTGGCGGCTGAACGCATAATAAATTTATTCATGTCGTCTATTGACAAAGAGTAAAACACAGGCTGGAATAAAAGTTTATACTGCTGCCTGCTCTGTCACTGGCACAAGGCCTGCTGGGTTATTTAGACTGAGATGCACCGCATGCTGGGGGAGTGGAGGAACTGTGATCAGGTACATATATATGATGATGATGATGATGATGATGATGATGATGATGGTGGTATTTATAGAAGGCCTAGGTGCTGGATTACAGCTTACATTCACTCTATATTCAGAATTTCTATATTTTTTTGTTTTTAAAATTCAAATTCAAAAGAGTTCAAATTATCCATTGCACTTTTAATCACTTTAAATAAGTTTCCAATTAATGATTCAAACTTACCTCAGTCCACAGTAAGTTTAATCAGGGTGTTAAAGGTGGCGCTCTAACAAAGCTGTTCTCTCCATGGCTGAAACTGTTAAAAAAAAGGGGGGGGGGAATCTGTTAATAAATGTGAAAATAATACAGTATTTTCAGCTGAACCAGTTTTTTCTTTCTCTAGAAGTGATACTATCCATCCATTGCACCAACTAATGGTAATTAAAAAATATTGTTTAGACCAAGCAGGGGTGTCAAACATGCAGTGCGCAGGCCAGAACAGGCCCACAAGAAGGTTCAATCTGGTCGGTGGGAGCAATTAAGAAAAATATAAAATTAACATTTTTTAATGAAATAAACTAGTAAAAATGGCATGTATTTTTATAAATCCATGCCATTATTTAGTTTATAAATATTGCTTAAAGTTGCTCTTTTAAAATGTCACTGCAGCTGATTTGCATTTTAATATTTATATATATTAACTTAACATAGTGTATGTTATATATATTGTTTTTGGTGCTTAAAATTATTTAGATTTATTTTTGCATAATTTGCATAAAAAATATAAATAAAATAAAAATACTTATTTTCTACTTTTGTCAATTAAAGCTGTTTGCTTGAGTTATTTCATGTTCAAAGAACAAAAACTATATATTGCTTGGTCAATACAAAGACAAAAACATGTTTTGTGCAATAACTAATTTGAACTGCAGTGCATTTATACACCACAGAGACCAAAGCCTCAGCGACATCAAACAGTGGCTCAGTGTGTGTAGCGTTAACCACAGAGTGAATGGAGTCGTGCAGTTACTTCACATGCTGTTATTTACACATCTTGAATGTCCTGCTGATCAGAGCAGAGGAAACTGGTCCAGCAGGAGTCCATCAGAGCTGAAGCAGGAGGAGGAGGAGCTGACCTCTGCTGAGTGGGGTTATTATTATCAGACACTGATTGGGGGCGTCGCCTGCACACAGAAGCCCTGTCACAGAAACGCTGATTTAAGCCCCCCCGGGGAGGCGGGACCCTCAGCTCCAGCACAGGAATTAAGGCGGCCTGAATGAGTGACTGGCTGTTTCTCTCAAACATCAGTCAGGTGTCAGGACTCATCCAGCAGAGGGGGAAATGAGGAGAGAGAGAGAGGGAGTGACAATTAGAAAATATGTTTTTATTAAATTTGATTAATTTAATTAAACCAGCAGATCTGCAGTGTGTTTTTACTTAAAAATCAATTACGTTTTGTTCTAATGAAATACAATTTCAGCACAGTACTCCTAATCAATTTATTACATTTCTAAAAAAAAAAAAAAGTGACTTTATAAAGGTATATTGAAGAAAACACAACATAAAATACACTATTGTGTTTGTAATATATATGTAAATATAGAAAATATATTTGTGAAATATATAAACATTTACAGTTTACAAAATATATTGATTTTCTAAAGTATATTTCACAAACATGCATAGTAAAATATGTTATATCTATTGTTTTAAATGTGTATGTTGTAAAATATATTAAATGTAAAAAAATACTTCATGTTAAATATACGGTACTGAACCTGACAGGGTTTGGCTTCACTTCCCTCTCTCTCTGGCCTCGACAGTCAGTTTCTTTCAGTTCTTCTTCGTGTCAGTAGTTATCTTGGAAAATGGCTGTGAATTTGTTCAAAGTTAACATTCAAGCAGATTAAAATAATAGAAAACTTTAAACAATCTTTGATTTCTGTTTAATATGACACTTTTTTTTAACAGATCACCTGCAGTATAGAACAATGGCAACTTGGAAAATACCAGCAGACGGCAGAATCCCTGCAGATGAACACAACAGTATTGGCCTTGAGTGATCAATAAAAAACAAAATGATGTCTTTGTTGTTTCAGACAATGTCTGAATTTATGTATTTTACCTTTTATAAAGAAAAATATTTTAATCAACCTTTTTATAGTACATGTGTAATTATTCAACAGTAAAGATTCACATCAACTGATTGGATAATTAATTTAATACACATGCAAATCTACTTGGAAAAACTGAGATAGAAATCTCCTGAAACGTGGGTCTGCAACCTGTGGCTCCTGGGCCACACGGAGCTCCTTTGTGGTTTGAATGACAGAGGGAATTCAGCCTGACTTAAAAAAAAAAATATTACAACTAATTCGTCAACTTCATCACTACTGTAGATATCTGCACATCCTGCACTGTGAAATGTCATTAAAATGTCAACCAATTTTCTTCCCTAACTGCAAATGTTCAGCTTGAGCAACACCACATCTTGTTACTGTTTTTTTTCTACTCATGATCAAAGGTGTGACGTAAGGATACATTTTTGTCCGAAGTTTGTGCTTCCAGTCTTCAGCTTCAGTTTCCACCGCTGGTCCGAGCGCATCCACCTCCAGACTTTCCGTCTGTGTCAGGCAGCCATCACTCCACCAGGAGACGTCACAGCCAGATCAGTGATGATTTTATCTATTATGGGAGGGAGTGATTCATGGCAGGAGAGAGGCAGCTCAAGGAAAACCAATCCTGTGACACTTTCTCCCCTGCTCTGTAGGACGGCAGCAGCTACAGAAGGACAGGCCGGCGCCTGCCTCTGACAACTGTGATAAAATGGCCTTCCTTAACTAAACTCGTAAAGCACACGGCAATAAAACTCAATCTTCTGTAAAATCCAATTAAGTCATTATCTGACTGATTGTATCTTTAATTGAAAACAGAAGTGACAGTAAATTTCTGTGATATATCAGGATCAATCGATACTGCTGTACAATCTGGTCTCAAGAGGTGATTTATAATGTCAAAGCCGAATAGGTAACTCCACATTCTTCTCTCTAAAACCACTGGTGGATGAAATTAAGAGTAAGTGCGTTTCATAAAAAAAACAAGATGGTCACGTTATTGATTACAACAGATGGGGCTGAATCCAATGAATGTTCCCACGGCGCAGCAGAAAGAAAATACAAGTAATTTTCTTAGTCTGTTTTATATTGTTGTTCCTGGGCTCACATTTACACTCCATCACTAACAGAGCTTTTATTTCCCCTTAAAACATGTAGCCAGGTAATCTCTCCGAGGACCCAAACGACATTTGTTGTTGTTTTATTCAAACACAAACAGGAATAAACACTTTCAAAGCAAGAAGTCCATTCTCATAAAACACTAAAAAAAAACAAAAAAAACAACATGTGCCGTGGTGAAGTGTGGCCAATGAGAAATGACTTTAGTTTTGTTCTTGAGCTGACCTGAGTTCTGTTTGGAGGGAGTTTTCAGCGTGTTTCCAGCTCTTATCATTTGGCTAAAATTATAGGTTAAAACTCTTTTGTCATCTTACAGTTCAATGTTCTCTGGTAACGTCATTATTTATAAAGTAACCCAATGCATGAACCATTGGGATTTGTCAGGAAGTTTCTGGGATCTGGGATTGTTTGTAATCTTTAGCTAACTTTGTCAAAGTAAACTGAAGAATCTTTAGCCTAATTTTATTATTAATTATTTCTGGCTAATTGGTGACATTTCTTGGCCGACTTTTTCCTGTACAAACATTAAGTCAACTTTGAGCCACTTCAGCTAAACACTGGAAACTTTGAACTTTAACCTACAAACTAAAAATAATTTACTAATACAGACAACTCAATTGGCCAGTCACACAGTTCAGTGATATTTTAAGTGACTCTTCATTTTGGCCAATTTATATAT